CGGGTCTCATCTTCGCATCCTTCGTTATCGAACCCGATCGTGAAATTGAGGCGGAGAATTTATCGGGGTTTTGTTACTTGTGAGCGAGCGCGAAAATGCTAGGGTTTTGAAAATGAGGGTGGAGATATCACCGGTGAGCTTAATCGCTGACGTGACGTTCTCCGTGATCGGGGTTTTACCGCAACGAGAAAGGGATGAGGTTGTTTATTATTACCCGCTCCTTCGATTGTGTCTGGTCACCGACCGTGGGGTTACCGCATCTTTGGGTGGGAAGTAGGGACCACCGCGGGTGCGGGTAAAAGAAAAGTCGGCGGTCATCTGACTGTTTTCGGGAAAGAGAAAGATTATATGATGAAAATTTGTAACGGTCCCATGACCACATACGCTTTTAAATAAATGACGGAAAATTTTCAACTTTCGGAGCACCAAAAGCTACACCCAAGCTCATTGTGATTCTTGATCGCTAGGAAATGAATTGGAAATTTTAATTCATGGAACACGAAAGATGGATAGTAAAATAATTATCAAATATTTTTTTTTCTTTTTTCAATTTTGATTTGAAAAATTATCTAAGAGAAATGAAACAATTCCTGTGCTCTGATAGTAAATGAATCAAGTATATGCATTTACCTTTTTTTTATTCATCTCCATAGCAAATGTTCCTTTAATTTTATCTCTTATACCTTGTGTTATTACACATGTTTGTCGTGTCCTTGTCTTTCTTACATTTTCTTAGTTTAGATATGTTATGTAAATTTTGAGAGATTTGAGAGTCAAATTTCAAATTATGGGTTATATGTCGTAATTATAAATGAATAGTTTTGTAACATGAATTTAAATTTTACTTAAAAATCAAGTTAGCATTATTAAATATTTATTAATTATTTGATGTATATTCCAAGGAGATTCATGTATGAGTTCAGATTTGAGAATTTTTTTTTCATAATTTCTTTTGTTCAAAAGTCAGATGTTGAGTTGAAATAATAGGCTAGCCGTCGGCAGAGCAGTTATCTTCTTCTCTTTCGGGCTTGTTTGGCAAACACGCAAAATTAAACTAGGTTCAAACCTGATTTAGTTTTGAAAAGAATTCTGATTAGGAAAATTGGGGGAAAGCTGACTGTTATATCCTACAAATAGCTAAATGTTAGTCCTCAAGAAGGAGCCGACACGTGTCCTACCTTGAGTACCTGATTAGCCATACTACGGGAAGGACGATTTGAGCGGCTTCAGCACTCAACCCTTCGTAGACCAAAGCTGAGTCGAAAGGCATCCTCACTCGCAAGATAAAAAAATGAAAGACATCATTTGTTTGTAAGTATCGCATTTTTAGTCGACCCACTCGCAAGATCAAAACAAAAGGCATCATTTGTCAGTCCTCTCGTAAAGTCGAGTCAAAAGGCGGTGTATCCCGGGGCTCCCGCCTACATTCGATTGCCATCACATTAAATGAATGAGCAGAGTCATCACTTCTCCAACCTCGAAAGTCTTTATGACTCATTGGACCTCATCAGCATTTCGCACATTCTGTCACCCTCACATTAAACGCCTGGGTCACTCATCCCCTTCTGCAGCTGACACCTGTAAAGTAAATGACGACTAAGCCCCCTGCTTGAACTCGGCCAAAATTACCCATCTACCCCTTGGATATGCTATAAGGGCCTGTTCGGTTTGCTCAAAAAAATGAGAAAACACCCGCCACCTCACATTTCAAGAAATCCCCCATGTGTCACATAGGTTTTTGGTTTCAAGGGTTTTCCATTTCTTCAGTTCGGTTCGTTTTGAAATTTAGAGAAATGAAACGCCACGTAGGATGCCACATCACATTTTTAAGAAATGTGTTTTCACAACAAAAACCTCTGAAAACACTTGGAAATGTCAATTCAATGAATTTTTAATATTAAAAAGCACTGTTGGAACAATGAATGGGAATTAAACAGATTATTTCTTTCCCTTTTTTTTTGTTCAAACGAACACAAGAAATAGAAAAGACATGCACTGTTACTATTGCGGCTTTTTTTGTCTCTTTATGTGACTTGGCGGTTTCAAGAGGTGATTTCTTTGCGAAACGAACACAAAAAATGAAATGTGGGAAAACTCTTGAAAAGTCATGATATCAAATGAAATGTGACATTTCCATTTCTTGTTTTTTTCGGAAAACAACCGAACAGGCCCTAAAAGGAAGTTGTTGTTTACCGCTAAGGGTAAGGAAATTCTTGCTAAGAAAAACATATTATCTTCACACTTCTCCACTCAAGCTTATTACTGACCTGATTGTCGGAGGAATCACCGGAGATCCCAACTCCGACCCTGTCACATGTTATTCATGTGCAGGATGAAATTTGTCGTTCAGAGCCTAACTATCTAAAGAAGATTGAGGACCCTAACAACCCCACATAATCTACATATTACTTGATAACTGCCATCAACACCTGAACTAGATTTTCTTAGGCCAAAAGAGGCTGTTAAATTACTTCTATTTTAAACCACCAATTTATAATTTTGTACAATTTGCCAACCAGAGCTTATTTTGATTGCGGTTGAAACTAAATCAAATTGAATTCTTCTATAGCATGTAAACCTATCAAATTTACTTCTGCAAATCCAAATCCAAATCCATATACAATACTATAGTCTAAAATATTTGAATCTGCATCCAACCAGCTTCTCCCAACCCAGATCATGTAACAAATTTAAAATAGAAGACATGCAATTATGTGCGCTGCCTCCACATATAATATACACATAATTAAATAAATAATTGATAATTGATAATTGAATGATCACATTTGATTAGTTTAGTAAATGAATACAAAAGCATTTTTAAATAGATTCTAGTTCAGAAAATAGTGGAAAATGTTACATCGAAAGCAGCAGCAAACACCGAAAAAAAATGCATGTGGGCCTTTACACATTAAACCCTCTTGCTTCTGATCCAAACAAGCAGCAATCTCCAATAAATTTCTCTAATCTAAGGGAACTGATGCCAACATTTTCAACCTTCTGAAAACGATATCCATCATCACTAACCCCTACAAAGATGAGATCTTTTTCAACAATGTTCGGTTGACATCAGATATCACAACCAAACCAAATTCAAAAATTCAAAATTTAAATGCACGCATTGCTTTCAGCCCCCTCCTTTGACTATATTGCTTGAGGAGCAGCCCTAGTGTATTTTAACACAAGGATAATATGTCTGTCTTATGCTGATTCACAACTCCAAAAATTGAAAATTAAGAGAACTTGTGCATGAGCGTTTATAAAACTTGTAATCTACTTTCAAGTTTAGTTCATGGATTGGGTTTGGTCCTTAACAATTCATACTTTTATCTCCTCTCCTAAGAAAGCAAAATTTTTGTAGAGATCAAAAGGCTGTTCATGCCAGGCCCTTTGGTTTTGAACCTTCAAGGAAAGGTCATGATAGCATTTTGATCTCAAGAGCTTTCTTCAAGACAAAAGAAACCCACGACGCAAAAAAGTGTAATAAGAAGTTGGGGGAAAAAAGGGAAGCAACAGTGCATTTATGCGTCAAAGGTTGAAGAAAGCTAAAGGGAGAAAAAAAACATTAGTATCTTCCTCTTAAAACTTAACTGTTGCGTGGTATTCCTGCACATGGGATCTAATTTTTCAACATTGGTACCCTTTAGAAGCAATGGCCCTTCCCTTTTATTCACATAGGGCAAGCTCGTTAAAAAAGAAAATTATTTGGCAACTCTCTAAAACGGGACCAGGTTTGAACATGATCTAGAAGTGGTGATTGGTAAAAACTGACCCAAAAGTAAACTAGTTTACTTTAGTTCATTTTTTGGCCTTTAAACTGCTTTAATTGTGGAGCCGGTGGGAGTTGTCCACAAGTAAACAAGCTCTTTCTAGAACCAGTTTACGGAACGAGAGTGGCCCAATTTCAGTGAGTTGCCTGAAGAATTACAGGAAACAGGAAGGAACCAGCCAGACAGACTGGCGGTCGACCGCCGCGGTCGACCGTCGATGATTTTTGGGCTGGGCTTCGGTTTTTGACCCGATTCGTTTCTAAGTTATATATAACCCTAAACCTCTTTTGTTAGGGTTAAGCAAGGACGAATTTGAGCAGTCTTTGAGAGAGGATTGTTGCATCCAATTGTGGGAGAGTTGTGAGAGATCAAGAGCTTTGTTTTAGGGTTTGATCGTTGAGATTTGTAACTCTACTTGTATTCTCTGATTTCTAATAGTAAGAACTCCCTCCCCTTGCCCCGTGGACGTAGGCAACTTGCCGAACCACGTAAATTGTTTGTTTTTGCTGTGGTTGTGTTTGCATATTAGTTGTGGTTTAGTTCGAGTTATTGTTCGTGTTGCTCAAGAAAGCTTCTGCTGCGCACAACAATTGGTATCAGAGCTAGATCGACAACATGGGAGATGCAAGCACGTCAGGTTCGTCTCTTACAAAAGCGATACAGAGTTTGAGCATCAATAACACAAAGATTGATGTTCCGAAGTTCGACGGCAAGATCAATTTTGGATTGTGGAGGTGTCAGGTGATGGATGCCTTGGATGCACAGAATTTGGAGGAGACTCTTAAGTTAAAAGAGAAACCCGCAGATATGGAGGATAAGGTTTGGAGAAAGATGAACAGTAGAGCTTGTGGTGTTATTAGGTCATGCTTGACGCCGGATCTTATTTACGATGTTATGAACGAGACGTCAGCGAAGAAGATGTGGGAAACACTCAATGAGAAATATCTTACGAAGAGCATTGAGAATCGGCTTTACTTGAAGAAGAGATTTTACCAGTTCAAGATGAAGAGGGGAGTTTCTATCAGGGAGCATGTCAACAACTTCGCTAAGCTACTTTCAGATATGGCCAATGTGGACATTATAGTTGAGGATGAAGACAAGGTGATGCTACTTCTGTGTTCGTTGCTCGAACATGATTATGGTACGTTCGTTCTCACTATGATCAATGGAAGAGCTACAGTCA